AGTAAAAAAAAAAAAAAAAAAAGGAGTCGTAGAATAAAACGTCTCTAATAACCTGAGATATTATAATAGCATAATTTATAGCTTTTTCATATTTTTAGATACAAAATTAGTAATCAAACAACTCAAATAAAAAAATTTCAACGTATTTTTTTGATAGAATTCATAGCTAATTCTTCAATCTCTCTTGCAACTTGGTTGATCGAAGATAAAATTTAATCAACTTCAAACTTTAAAAACCTTTTATTTGCCAAACAATAATTCATTCTCTTAATATAATGTAACATATAAATTGTTACATTGTTACGATGTATGTTGAGAAGAGACTAAGGGAAAATTCAAGATCAAATAGAGTCAATGAAGCCATGAAATTACTCGTTCAAGCTATGGAGTCCAAGATGGTAAAGTTAACCAGTCAAAGACCAAGTTTTATTTTGGTCATGGGAGCGGAAACAAGTTAGAATATTTTGAAATCAAGAAATCAAAACTTTGAGGGAAGACAGACTGATATGCGACCGCATATTACAAAACTGGGTGCGACTGCATGTCTCTATATCGAATCAAAATTGAAGGTTGTCAATTGGCCTATGCGACCTCATGCAAGAACCTATGTAGCCACATAGTACAATTCTGGACTCGAATTTTCCAAATTTCGCGTAATCTTCTATTTAGTTAAAATTCTATTTTGTAATACATTTTGTTATTTTTAGAGTTTAATTCCGTTTTCTAGTTAAGTTTTATGTGTTCCCTATAAATAAGACTCATCATATTCATTGTAAAACACACATTTTGAGAGATATTATTACAAGACGTATTACTTTCTTCTTGTTCTTCATTAAATTAATTTTGAACTTATCAAAATTATTTGTTGTGGTGTTCAAAAAAATCGAGTGAGATTCTTGAGTCTTGTAATCATGGGGTCAATATATTATTGGCGATTGTGTTGATTTCATAATTCAATATTTTTGAATCAAGTTTAAATGTTGATTTCTTGACTTTTTTGGGTTGAATCAATCTTGTGTGGATTTCGTAGTAACAATGTGGGTTCGTATCACCAAGATCGAAGTCACACATTCAAGAACTTAAGAGCCAAATTTCGGAGTAAGATCAAGAATTTGATTTCTTAAATAAAGTGTAAATGTACAAACACTTTGGTAACGAAGACTCAAAATCCTTCTATACATTAAAAGTCATTCAAATGCAATGATTTGATCAAATGTAAAAAGGACTTTTAAAAATGATATTTGGACCTGAAAAATATTTTTATGTCTTGAAAAGTTAGTTAAAAATACTCTCCAAAAGTTTATACATTTCAAAATTTTTTAATTGGAACAAATGGATTCAAAACGTAAAAAGATCGAACTGTCGGGCGGTCTCGGAAGTTTCCAACGGTTCAAAAGTTGACTGTTCTAACCTCTTATTTTTTCTGTGCAAATGGCTATATTGGTCATCCAGACAAGAGACGGTCAACCAAACGAGTCATCCGAACTCCAAATTTTTTGATGTTTTGAACTTTATAAATACCTCTACTTATTGCATTCAATAAACATTTTTTAAGAGCGTTAAAGTGAGAATTACTTGAGCAAAATTCTTTGAGTTTACATCGTTTTAAATCTTCAAACATTTACTTTGACAACTTTTGATTGATTAAATGAACTTTTGAAAATCATCTTTTCATCAAAGTTCTCTCATCTAACTCTTGAGTTTCATTAATTGCTATTCATTTAAGTATTAGCCTATTTCTCTCTTTATATTTAACTTGTGTGTATTATTAAGAGAGAAGATCCAAATTGTGAAATCATTTATTTTTAAATTTGTGGTCATATTGAGGTCCGTAAAGCTCAATGTTATACAAGAATCAGAGATCCTCGTTTATAAGTGACTGAAAGTGTTGTAAAAGTTTGGATTGCACCATAAGTCAATTAATACAGTGAAAATGCCCTTACGTGCCGGAGAGCTTAGCAACGAAGGACGTAAATCATTGCTTTGAATCAAACCTCCACAATTATATCATTTGCATCTTCTCTTCTCTTCTCTTCCCTTTTACTTATCGCTTTCATATTTGAACTTATTATTTGAATTAATTAATTTATTTTTATGTGGTTGAATTTAGATTAATTTTTCGAAAAAATTTTAAAAATTAATTCATCCCCTCTTTGTTAGTTATTCTTAGACTATCAATTGGTATCAAAGTAATGTGCTCATTTTGAATTTAAAGATTTAACAATTTTGAGTAATAGCTAACCATAATTTTCAAAATCTTGAGGGGCATTTTACAAATCGTCTTCCTTTTTTTGATGGCACACATTATAATTATTGAAAAGTTAGAATGGTGATTTACATTCAATCAATATATTATAACATTTGAGAATTTATTGAATATAGTCCTTTTGCGCCTACCAAGATTATTAAAATAGATAGCAAACCCGATTAAACCATTCCAAAGCCTAGACATGAGTTTGATGGAGATGATAAAAGAAAATTATCTTTAAGTGCTAGAGCCAAAAATCAATTTTAATGCACCTTGGATAAAAATGAATTTAATCATATTAGTACATGCAATTCCGTAAATGATATTTGACATGCATTAGAAATTACTCATGTTGGCACTAGTAAAGTAAAGGAAACCAAGATTAATCATTTGGTCAATTTGAAAACTTTTTCATGAAATAAGATGAACATATTGTCGACATGATTACTCGTCTCACTGACATTGTTAACAACCTCAAAGGTTCTGACCATAAATTTACTAATGGTGAGTTTGAAAATAAAATACTTAGGCTACTATCAGAAAATTGGAGCTCATTAAGGATGGTGATAGAGAATACCAAATATATCAACTCATATCCATTGGAAGAATTTTACGAAACTTTGATTATTTATGAGGTCAACAACGCTAAAACTAAGGAAAAAGCTAGGAAAAACAAAGATGAATCAAATGAGCTATCTAAGCGCTAAATTGCATTAAAATCGGTAATTAAAGAAAGACCTATAAGTGAAAATATGAGTTATGAGGAGTTCGATGATCTAGTTCTTCTTGTTAAAAAATAGAGAGATTTTCGAAATAATTGAAGATTCCAAAGGAAATAAGTAAATGGTGAAGAAATAAGTAAGAAAATAATTTATTATGATTGTGACAAATCCGATCACAAGATAACCGAGTGCCCAAACAAGAAGATGAGTATTAAGGAAAATGGCTCTTCAAGCAACATGGGAAGAAAGCGACGATGATGATCGCAGTGAAAATGATAGTCAACAAGAAGTTGCCAACATGTGCTTTATAGCAATTGAAGATGAGGTAAATCCTATTGGAAAATGTTTATATGATGATTTATCTACCTCTTATGATGAAATTTGTCAAGAGGAAATTGTCGACATGTGCTTCATGGCTATTGATGATGAGATTAATTCAAAAGAAAATTGTCCATATGATGATTTATCTACCTCTTATGATGAAATTCTTGACAAATTTGAAAAGCTTGCCTTAAATCACTATACTCCTAAGAAGAAACACTACTTGTTGAAAAATGAAATGAAGAAAATTTTAGAAACTCAAAAGGTTCTCAAAAAGGAAAATGTTGATTATCATTCTTTGATTAAAGAAAATTTTTATTTAAAAGAAAATGTTGAAGATCTAACTAAGGTTATTTACAAATTCACTCAAGGTAAGTAAAACTTTGATTTAATGCTTGGTGATCAAAAGTGTGTTTTTGAAAAAGGAGAAGTATCCAGAAACCATTCTCGAAATAAAATCTTTCAAAAATTTATTGTCAAAACATCAAACTTATCTCTTTCAAGCACTACATGTAGTTTTTGCAATAAAGATGAACACATTGCTTAT